TTTTATTAAAATAAAAAGTGAAAAAATTAGAAACAAAACTAAATAAAGAGAAAATAAAGGAGAGGAATGGATAAAGAATACTCAATGAAGTATTAGCAGAAGTAATGGAAGATCCTAATTTAATGGACAAAGATCCACTTGCAAATAAAAACAAAGATTTTATATGTTCAGCACAAGATGCAATAGGATTGTATTTTGTTTCTAATAAAGAAGAAGTAGAAAAAACACTCAAAGACAAATATTTAGAGAATGCAGTTGATTATCCTGATTATGTTCACCAATTATTTATGGGAGATTGTGAAATATATGGATATAAAGATTTAAAAGTTCACGTTTTGATTAGTGTCTATTCACATCAAATGTATGTTGATTTTTCATATTCACAAAAGATCGATGATGCAGAAGATGTAGTAAAATGTCTTCATAAATTTATGCCAAAAAACCAAAGAATTTTATCATTAGAAGGTTTTATTGAACAATTAGAAAAAGAAAAGTATGGGTTTAAACCTTGTGGAAAGAAGTTATATGAATTTGAACAAAATGGAGAAGTTTATGAAATTTATTATGGAGATGTTAATAATATGTATGAGTATTATTGTCAATTATTTCCTGTTATTACAATGTATATTGAACGAGCGAATTGTGTTAATCCAGAAGGAAAATGGGAATTTTTTAATTTGTTTCAAGTCATTGAAAATCCATCAAATATAAGTCAAACTGAATATAGGATAGCTGCACAAACGAATACATATAGATTTTATCATTACCCAGATTCATGGAGATTACGTATTGGACAATTTATAACATTTCCTAATTACCAAAGAAAAAAATTAGGAAGATATTTATTAAAACAAGTATATTCATTTATTTTATCTGATAAAGATTTTGATTTAACTGTTGAAGATGCATGTTTAGAGTTTCAAAAATTAAGAACATTTGTAGAACTTAAAATGATGGAAGAACAACAATTAAAATTACCTATTGATATTCATTCAGATACATTAAGTGAATGTCCAGAAGATTTTTGTGAGATAGTTAGAAAAAAATGTGGAATAACAAAAATGGAAATAATGTCATTATATGAAATGATGGTATGGGCAGAATTAAAAAATAATAATGAAGTAATGCCTAAGTTAGCATTAGAGTTAAAAAGAAAGTATTATTCACAAACTAAAACAGAACTTGAATTACTAGAAAATGATGAAATGAGATTAGAAATGATTGAAAGAGCATATAAAGCAAAAATTGCTCATTTTAAACAAATTTACAATATTTTAGAATAAATTAAATATTTTTAATAAAAGAATAATAATTTATTTTAATTAAATAAAAACAAAAGGTAATTAGGAGATATAGAATTAGAATACCACAAATAAATTTTCTTCTTATTGAGAATTATTTAATTAACTTTTTTCAATTTGCTTTACTTCTATCAAAGAATGAAATATAATTTAATAAGATAAATATTTAAGGTAGTTTATTGAATTGAGATAACTTCAAATTATAATAAATAACAATTTAATTACAAAAGAATAAAAAAAGGAAGAAAAGATAAAGAATTATTTATATAAAATTGTTTTGAGTCTAACTTTAAAATAAATCGAACAAAAAAAAATTAATTTATTCTAAAGAAATAGAAAATATGTTTTGGATATTCTTAATTTATATTATTTCATGTTTTGGAGCTCAAAATAATGAAAAAGAAGTATTAATTAATTTTTATAATCAATTAAATGGATCCAATTGGAAAATATCAACCAATTGGTTAAATAATGAAAAAGATATTTGTGAGTGGTATGGAATTGAATGTGATAAAGATGGATATGTTTTTCAAATATCTTTAGACTCTAATAATTTAGAAGGTAAATTACCAAGTTTAAGTTCTTTAACTCATTTATATGCATTTGTTGCTAATAACAATAAATTAACTGGTTCTTTAAGTGCTTTTAATGGATTAAAAGGATTTATGGCAATAAGTATTAAGAATAATTTATTTAGTGGACCAATTTATATGATAGGAACAACAATGAAATGGTTACATGCTGATAATAATAAATTTACTGATATATTTTCTTTAATAAAACACTGTCCTGAAATTGAGGTTATTGGACTAACTCATAATAAAATTAAAACAATTCCTCGTACTATTGGAACTTTACATCATTTAAGAACTTTATCATTAGGACAAAATGATATTACTTCTGAAATTCCAAATGATTTAAATGGTTTAATTAATATTGCTACTATTGATTTAAGTAATAATAAAATTTCTGGTTCTATTCCAGTTACTTTAGGTCAATTACCTGTTATTACTGAAATTTTATTACAAAATAATTATTTATCTGGTTCTATTCCTAATACTTTATTTACTGCTTCTTCATTAACTTTGATTGACCTTTCTAATAATTCTCTTTCTGGTTCATTAAATGATGTAATAAATTCTAGAACATTAGTAACTGCATATTTACAATATACTAATATTGAAGGACCAATTCCTCCTTTATATTCAAGTAGTTTACGACATCTTGATCTTCGAGGAACTAAGGTAGATTGTCCAATTTTAGATGCTAATAGAGAAATTATAGTAGCTAATTGTCCTCCAAGAGTTATTGTTGAAGCTGATGTAATGTCTAAATGTCCTGACTTTAAAAATTTTGGATATAAAATTGCTGCACCACTTTTTGAGAAGATAGGTTCTATAATTGATTTTAAAATTGGATGGATTATGACTCCAAGTTCATCTTATTCTACTGGGTATAGTTCAATGCATGGTAATACTGAAGTCATTGGTGATTTCTTATTTACTTGTGCACTTGAAATATATAATACATCAAAAGCATTTGATTTTTATAATTGTATGGGTAAAAATATTGATTTAATTCCTTTAAATTATACCTACTGTGCACAACAAGCAAATATGGACCCTGAACCTTTAATTAAGTGTGCATTTGGTTCTTATGGAAATATTTTAATGAAAGAAGCAGTTGATAGACCAATTCAAATGGGATCAACATGGTGTCCAACTATTTATATTAATGGAGAACGTTATTGTCTTTATGACTCATACCCATGTAATGCAACTACATTAGATGATTATATAAGAGATATTTGTGCTGCATATACTGGAACCAATAAACCTTCTGCTTGTCCCAAATAACATTAATTAATAAATATTTTTATATTTTCGTTATTAAAAAAATAGAAATCTTTATTTATTTAAAAATATCTTAAAATGGATTTAAATTCTCACTTTCTTAAATGCATTTAATTAACAAGCCAATTATGACTCAAATCCCTATGTATTGTGCCTTTTCTTTCCTTATTATTGCTGGTGGTAAAACTATATTACTCACAAATGAAATAACACAAGGAACAATTTATGAAATTCCATTAACAATATATATGTTACTTAATTGGCTTTGGTTATTAGGAACTCTTATTTACTTAAACTATGTTGACCCTGGATATATGCCAAGATTTAAACCATTTGGATTTCCAGTAAAACAGTTTTATAATGTAAAATATCAAAATACAATATTACCAAGAAATACTTGTGAAACTTGTAATTTAGTAAGACCATTAAGAGGAAGTCATTGCAGAGTATGTAATAGATGTGTTAATGAATTTGATCATCATTGTGGATGGATTGGAAATTGTGTTGGAGAAAGAAACAAAGGAAGATTTGTTATATTTGTTTGTATAGTGTTTATAAATTCTGTCACTGCTTGGTTAATTAGTTTCTATCATATTTTATTCATGCCAGGAGGTTCTATAATAAATCTTTTATTCATTATTATTATCTTCTTTATGTTTTCAATTACTAATTTAATGTTAGGGTCATTATTCATATCTCATATATACCTTGCTTTCAATGGTAAAACCACCTATGAAAATATCAAACTCACAAAACAAAGACGTCATGACTTTGAACAATTCTTAGAGGAAAATGGAATACAACAACATAAATGTTATTGTAAAAATTGTGATAAGAAAAAATCTTCTCAAAATGATATAGATGAAGAACAAGTTAATGGATCATGTAAAACTAAAAGACAAGAAAATGAAGATGTTTTAAGTCGGATAGAAAGAAAAAGGAAGGAAATGCTTTTAAGAAAACAGTTTTCATTGAAATATAAAAATGAAACATCGCCTTATCAAAGAGGTTTTACTAATTTTCTTCATATTATATTTAGACCATCTCCACCTTCATTTATTTAAACAAATAATTATTAAATAGATATTAATTTTTTACTTATTGAAAATTTCAAAATAAAATAATAAAAAGTATTTTTATTCAAACGCTAATTTAACAGTTAAATAATAAAGAAGAATAATAAATAATATTAAAAAAGTATTAAGGCATCTATAAAAGAAACCCTTAAAAACTCTAAAAAAATTGAAATAACCTATGGTCAGAGTTAACGTTCTTGCTGATGCTCTTAAATCAATTACCAACGCTGAAAAACAAGGTAAAAGACAAGTTATGATTAGACCAGCTTCAAAAGTCATTTGTGAATTTTTGAACGTTATGATGAAACACCAATATATTACTGACTATACCGTTGTTGATACTCATAGAAGTGGAAAAATTGTTGTTAACTTAAATGGTAGACTTAACAAATGTGCTGTTATTTCACCAAGATTCAATGTTACTCTTAGTGAATTTGATAAATGGGAAGCTAACTTACTTCCATCAAGACATTTTGGAGCACTTGTTTTGACTACATCATATGGTATTCTTGATAATACTGAAGCTAGAGCTAAACATACTGGAGGAAGAATTCTTGGATTCTTCTATTAAAAAGAACTAAACCAACTAGTTATGTATTTTTTCTCGGTTACCATCACTGCGTAAACTTTCTTTTACTAAAATCGCAGTGTTGAAATCGCTTTCTTCTTTATAATATATTAAAGACTAAAGATATTTCAACTACTGTTTTTTTTCTTTATTTTCAATAATATTTTTTTATAATTATTATTTTAAACTTAAATATCTTTTTTAAATTTTTTAATTATATTCTTGGTTAATTATAGCTGTAGCTTCACGAATTTTTTCATGTTGTTTAAGTGCTTCATTATTTTTTAATTCATATTGTTTATAAATTTTGTTATACATCACAGCAATAAAAACTAAAGTTATTAATCCAAATATGGCACTTGCTCCAAAGATTATTAAAACAATTCTTGTCGTGATATATGATGAATACAATAACGCAATACACATCACTGAATAATAAACTACTCTCCATGCACTTAATGGAGCAACTTGTTTTGGCCAAATTTTATTTAAAAGAGCAATGGTAATACTTTCTAATCCTGAATCAGCAATTCCAGCAATACCACCAAGTACACAAACACAAATATTAAGCCCAATATCATTTTGTGGTACATTAGAAGTGTTATGAAGATAAACTTCATTAATAACAAAACCAAGAACAACAGCAAGAGCCTCTGCAAAAACAGATATAAATAATGTTATTCTTTCTGTAAATTTACTATTAAGAAATCCCCAACAAAAAGTAGATAATGTCATTGTTATTCCCATACAAATATATATATATGAAGTCACATTTAATGGTGCAAGAACTGGCATTGAAGTATAATAAAATGAACGACTAAATCCAAATAATAAAGCTAATGGAAATAAAAGAACAAGTCTCCAATTTAAAAAACATTTTAAAGAAGATAATAATAATTCTTTCATATTTTCCATTGGAACAGGGGGAGAATCAAAAGAACATAAAAAGAGAATTACAGCAAAAGCAGCAACAAGCGTTAATACCATAAATAATATAGCAGGAGTTGATGGTGAAAAGATTAATGGGATAATATTTCCTAGAAAATTAAAGTAAACTGGTACGTAAAACAAAGTGTAAATGTATGATGGGTGTGAACGTTTTTGTTCATATCCGGAAAGTAATGTACTTGAAGCAGCCCATATTAGTGATGACCCAAACCCACATATCCCTGATGCTATAAAATATAATGAACGAATTAAATATACGTTTGTTGCAATATAAAATACATAACAAACACCTCCAAAGAATAAAGAGTATTTAGGAGTTAAGAAATCTACAAGAACTGGTGAAACAAACTGACCAATACCACAAAAACCATACACTAATGCAACAGAAATATACCCATCACTCTTATTAATTCCTGATTGAAAATTTTGAGTGGTTTGATATCCACACAATAACAAAAAGAAACACAACCCAAGAAACAATGGCTTAATATATGGAAGGTATGTCTTAATTCCCATCTTCTTCTATTAATTACTTTGAACTATTTAACTGGATTTGAATTTAAACTTCTTAATCAAACAAAACGAACAATGTAGATGCAACAGAGATTGGTAGAAGCTCTTTTTTTCTCAGAAAAAAAAAAAAAAGAAAAACTGAATAAATAAAATATTGTAATATTAATTATTATATTTTATAAATTATTAGATTAAATTATAATAAATATTAATATTATAACAAGAAGTATGACACTGATAAAATGAAAGAAATAGTATATTTTATTTACTAATAAGATAAATTACAACAAACAATAAACAAAATAAAGGAGTTAACAATATAGTTCTAAGAAATAATGATAACTTTAAAAAGAATAACATTAAAATGAAAAAAAAAATAATTGAAAAATTATAAGATAAAATTAGAGTAGATAATAAATAAAAATTAAAAGAATTATTAAAACCATATTTATGGAAAAACATTTTAAAATGAATTAATTCAAGATTGTAGAGAAAGCTTTTGATATTTGTTCTTTTTTACCTTTATAAAATGAGAAATTCAATTTAGAAGTAACAGCACTTAATACCCCATTATCACGTAATGCCCAAACTCTTGGGAAAAAATCTGTATTCATTTCTGGGAAGAAATATTGACAAGTAGACATTGCTTTGTCTTTATCTGTAATTTGTAAAACTTTTAAAATTCCTTCTGCTTTTGAATATTCTTTAGAACATTCAGTTGAATATTCATTAATATCATAAATAGTATTTTTTACACTTGTATCTCCTATTCCATCAAGTGTAATAGGAGTTTTTCTATTTGGCAATTTTAAGAAGAAGTTTTTTCCTTGACTATAATCCATTAATAACATTTGTGCACCAAATTCATTAATTCTTTTTAATTTAAAAAGAGTATCAATATACTTTTCACAAAAAAGTGCAGTTGTTAATTCACATATTTGAAGGTAATAATCATTAACTAAATAGTCATCAATAATACCCATACTTTTTCTAATACAAATTGTCATTTTATCAACATAATCTATCTCCCAATTTGTTTCTCCTTCAACTGGAGACCAATTTTCCTTTGTCATATTAATCATAATATCATCAACAGGTTTAAGTATAGTTACAACTAATTGTTCAACTATTTCTCCAACAATTTTAATAATTCCACTTTGCATACTTGTCATTGGCTCTTTAATTTCTTCACCTAATTCAGCAAATGACACTGTCAATAATCTTTCAATACGAAAATAAATATATTTTAATGTATTAATTACAAGACATTGTCTTTTAATCATTTCTCTTTTATTTGATGTGTTCATTCGTTGTTGAAGACTTTTAGCATATTCTACAGTACAATTTGCAATAACTTTACATAATTCCATTAATGGTTCTCCATGAGTTAATGAAACACATCTCTCACTACATTTTCTATAATATAAAATCAAATCTTTAGATGATAACAAAACAACAACCCCACTATCAACTTCAAAATATTCTTCTTTTATAAATTTATTTAAGAATGTCATAACATTTTCTCGTTCTTTTTCAATATAGAAATCCATATATCCATCAAAACATTTTCCAATAATTCCTTCAAAAATTAAAGGTTTATCTTTATTAGTTGATACTCTTTTTAATATCTCTTTTTCAAATGCTCTTGTAGTTCTAATTGCTTTTACTAAACATGTAGTAAATTGTTCTGAATCACCTTTTGATGATTTTTCAAGCAATTCATGAAATGATTCCTTTGAAGTGGCACAAAAGTCTTGTGCCATAACTTCCCAAAATCTCCAACTAGAAGGTAAAGTATTATCATATCTTTGTTTTGCAACTTTAATTTTATCTAAAAACCATTTATATCTTTGATCAATATTAGAAAGACTTGATTGTGGTGCATTTAAAGGAAATGCATTTGCATATCCCAATGTTAGATGAGTTGCTAAATAGGAAATAAAACTATGTTTATATTCATCAAATAATTCATCAACTAAACTAAAATAATCTCTCATTTGTCGTTTATTACTTCCATTTGATTCAAATTGAACAACAACTTCTTTAGTTATTGTTATTATATCATTACAAAGATGATGAAGTTTCATAATAGTAGTTGCAAAAACATCTATATCTTTCACATCAGCATATGTTTCAATTATTAATTTTGCAGTTCTTAAAGAATCAGCAGCACTTAAAGGTAAATTATCTTTTAATGCTTGTTCACAAGTATGTATTAAAATATCTAATTGTTGAAGATGATGTAGTAATTTAACAACAAATCCAATGTTTGTTCTTGCCAACCCCAACAAAGTAACTCCATCACAAATACCTTTCAATAAAGCTTCAGTGTATTGGGTATCCCCATTAAGTGAATTTAAAGATTGTCTAACATCATTAAATTTGTCAGGAGCTATTCTTAATGACTTTGTCGCTTCTTCTTCAAGTCGTTCTTGTTTTTGGAGTGTTTCAAACACTGATTTTTGAATTGCAATTTGTTCTTTCACAGTACTTTCTGCTAATTTATTTATTTTATCATTATCGTATATGGCTATATTCCTATTAATAAATGAAACAGGATCAAAACATTCACTATTAAGATCAATTGGATTTGTTGATGGTTGTGCTTTTTCCATTTGATATAAAAAGTATTTTCTATAAAAAAAGTCCTTTCTTTTCTTCAAAATAACCCTAATTTAAGGGTTTACTAAATTCATAAAAAAGAATAAAAATTCAAAACTACTATGGAATTAACAAAACAAAACAAAGAAGAAAAATTTTTAATAAGTAATAAATCAATTAACTTTGATTTACTTAAAAAAAGAAAGTAATTAAATGAAATTACTTTCATTTAACAAAGACTTACTCATGCAGTTGTATCTTTGTTTTCATCAGCTTTTGTTTCAGTTGGTTTATTTTCAATTTCTTCTTCTTTTTTATTATCATCAATATCAATTTCTTCTCCTTCTTCAAACACCTTAAGATTTCTCTTACGTACAAGATAAACATGGACAATGTAAACAATGAAAAGAATAGCAACAACAACTAACACAAGGAAGAAAATAACTATAACAGCAATCATATACATTGGGAATTCTTTAGTTTCAGTCGAACGAGCCATTCTATCACTTGGACAAGAAACTTGATCTTCTGGAAGATCAGAAATAACAAGCCCTCCACAGAGAGAATAGAATTTGAATGAATTATTATCAGTTTTAAGTTTAGATGAAGAACTTGTAAGAACTTTATCAACGTTATCAACTGGTTGGTTAATTCTTAAGAATGCAAATGTACATCCGCTATGACCAGAAGGAATATGAACAACGAATTTAGCATTTAAGATAGATAATGAATTACCTGAAACATCATCGTCAACAGATACTGAGTGAGATTGTCCAGGAGAATTGAAAGAAATATCAAATGTAGTATCTTTTGTAAATTCAACATTACTTGAGTACAAATCAAAATGACCATTAGAACTAATTTTAATAGTCTTTCCAGAGAAATCACCAACTGAATTTTGTCTAAGAGATATTGTTGAACCAACAAGAGCAAGGTTAGTGTTTCTAATTTCATTTGTTCTCAATGTAATACTATTTTTCAAGGTAACAGATGTAGGAGTATCAGTATCTCCAGTAATATTAGAAATACTTTGTGATTCATCAAATAATATTTTACCGTAATTCTCTAATTTTAATTCTGTAATATTGGACTTTGTTAATGAACAAGTAACAGCATAATTATCATGTTCTTGAGAGCCTTGAATTACAAGGGTATGAATAGTAACATTAGATCCAGTCATTGTTCCATACTTAGCTGAATACTTGTCTAATTGTTTTGAATCTAAATTATATCTTACAGCAACTGTTGGTTTAGTAGTATCAATAATACATCCATTTCCAGTACATGGGCATGTTGGAGAAGACCAAACATCACTAGCAGTTTCAGAGAACGAACTTGAACGGAATGTATCAGAGACGACACATGAAAGTTCTGGAATATTATATTGTTCAAGACCATTGAAATCTTTGGCTGCAAGAAGAATAATATATTTTTGATCATCAACTCTTAAGTTCTTTGAAAGACTACCTGAAATAGTGATATAATTAGGAATATTTGTATAGATTAAGTTAGCAACTGCATTTTCACTATTACCATTACTAAGACAGTCATAATCTACCTCAATATCTGAAACAGAAATTCTTCCTACAACATCGAAATAAATGACTGATTGTGTTTTTGTAGTATTACTTTCATAGCATGCATTGTTTTCACTCAGAAGATGAATCTTAGTCTTTTCAATAATAGTTGGATTAAAATCAGCATCATAATGACTATTAGTTTCTAAATCAACAATTGTTTCATTCTTTGATGGTCCATAAACAACAACACCTCCTTGATTTCTAAATGTAATATCTGCATTTTTCATTACTATCTTTCTTTCAACAGTAGGTAATGAGATTGTATCTGTATCATAAGCATCTGAGAAAGTGATAAGAGGGCTATCATTTTCAGAGATAGTAATAACAGCAGTTGTTTCAAAATGAGCATTTTCAATATATAATTCTCTAACTGAAATTTCTCTAACATTAAGAATAACAACAGAACTTGGATTAACAAGATGAATACGTTCAATAGATAATAATGTGTTACTACCTGAAATAGTAACTAAACATGGACTATCTGAAGAATCTTCAATAGAATAAACAGTGATTGGAACAACAGCCTCAATCTCAAGTTGATCAGAATCATTTAATCTGAATAACTTCATAGAAGACTCAATTCTTAATTTCTTTTGAGCACCTCCAAAATCAATTTCATTGAATAATGGTGAATTGGAGTCTTCATCACGGAATACACATTCACCATCTGGAGCATCACTACAATCAAGAATACATGATTGGTCAACATATGGATCATAAGAGCAATAACAAATAGGAGAATTAGCTGATGTAGCAGAACAAGAGACATCTTTAAAATGATGTTCAGATGTAGAATTAACACATGCCTCAAGAACAGCACCCAAGTACTGATAATATTTAATACCAATAATACTTGAAATAGGTACATTTCCTTCCCAGATCTTTTCTGGTTTAGATTCACTACTCAAACCAGAAGGTTGAATTAATGCTTGACATTCATGATTAGAAATTGAGCCCTCATAAATGTTAATAATTTTAAGAGTAATAATATTGTTGTTATGTACAACAATCTTTCCACCATAGTAATTAATCATTGTAGAGTCAAATGCATCATAAGCATTAATAACTGAATCACCGCTCATTAAGATTTCAATGAAACTACCATACTTTACAATATTAACGGTACCCTTATCTTGGACAGCAAGTCTGACAGTTGTTCCAACAATTGAAGATATATCAACAACAGCATCTTTTGGGATGTTAAGAAGAGAGTTAGTAGCAAACTCATATGTAGAATCTTCTTCAACAACAATTCCTTTTCCATTAAGAGAAATACTACCATCATTAAGGGAGAATCTAACACTACAACTCAATTCACTTTCATCATTATCACTAATACAATTAACTGCACCACCAGAACAAGAAGAAGCAATATCTAACAAATAACTTCCACCATTTTGGATGAAAACATTTTTCATTTGATTACCAGTAATTTCAACAATATCATACAATGGTGTTAATCCATCATTATTTGGTAAATTAATTTTGGTTGATTGATACTCACTATTATAAACATACTTGTACTGTTGGACATAAAGACCTTTATTAGTACTATCACGAGCACAATTACTGCTTTTATCATCAACATAATTAACGCATGTAATAACTTCAGGACATACAAATGCTGTAGAAGATTCAGTATCAATTGAGAAAAGAAGTGTCCTTGAATTACAACCAACAGATACTGAACCAATGTCAACAAGTGAAATTTCAGTTGAAGAAGTAAGAATAGGATATTTGCCTGTAATCTTTGAACTGTTCGTAACGGCATAAACTTTATTAACTGAGTTAACATTGATGAATGATGAGGACACTGTAGCAGCAGGAGAGAAGTCAATTGCTTTAAAATCAAGAGCAGCATTTGGAGCTGAGAAACACAAACCAGTAGCAGACTCGATACTTAATTTGTTAATTAATAGGGATGTCTTTCCATTATAAGTAAGAATAACATTAGGTTTAATTGTAATATTAATACCATTTTCTGCAACAATTTCATCAATCACAGTATCAGCTGAAACAACAATAGAACTTTCAGCACCTTTGCAACTTAAAGTGTTTATGTGATATTTATTTTGTAATGTAATCTGTCCAGAGAATTCCAAATATTCAATAACAATAGAAGAAGAAGTAGATGACTGCATTGAAACATCAGAACCTAATATAATGCTTTTGTATTTATCACCTTCTAATCCATTTAATTTTTTAATTGAAACAGATGATAAATCAATTGTTTTGTTAGGGTCAGGACAAATAGAATAATATTGATAATAAGCAGACTCTTGAATATTCAACGAGTCAACAGAAGAAAGATCATTTCTTAAAGCACATGAATCAAACTTGAGAAGGTCTTGATTTGAACCACAGTTTTGATAATAAATTCTTTCAGAACTAGTAAAACCAGGAATCGAAATAACTGGTTCTAACACAAGATTTCTTGTGTTCAAAAGAATAGTACAATAATTGCCAGTGACTACAACAGAATTTACTATAAATTTATCAGTAATAGAGTTGAGAGTAAATATTGTGAGACCATTAGAATTAGGAGAAACTGTTAATGACTCAACTTCAAAGTCACTAGAAATTGTAAATTTACTTCCTACAACCTTCATTTGATTTACTTTAACAATACCATCAATCACAGAATCACCACTATCCATAGACACACTATAACAATCTTCAAAAGAAACACTTCCTTCAGAACGAATTGAGGAAATCAGTATTGGAAGATTATTGCATTTGATTGTAATACTAGACCCAGCACTTCCTGTAATATAATGAGGGACAAATAAATTAGAAGAAAGAGTGAAAGTAACTGAGACAGAACTTTCAACTGAAAGAGTTGATGGAAGGTATGTAAAACCAACCTTTCCAGATCCTTTTACAGTTAAATCATTGACTTTAGAAGAGATTACAAACTCATTGTTTGAGTCTTGATTTTGTACATTTTCAATGATAAGTGTTTGTGCATCGATTTTATCAAGAGAAGCAGCACTACCAGTGTAACTAGCAACACAGTTTAGTCCATTACTCTTTTTACATTCATAAGGATCAGCATTAAGATCAGAGTCATATTTAACTAACTCATCATCACAACTAATATGTGGGATAACTTCTGAATTGGTTGCTTTGTGGTAAAGTATTCTATCATTACAAAGAAGTTTATCAGTGTTAAGAACTGAAGAAAGTGTTAATGGACTAGAAGACTTAATAGCAATAAATCCACTACTACTAATACCTTCGGTGTATGAAACAGAAAATCCATTTTGGTTTTGAGCAATAACATTAATAACTGGAAGATGAGAATCAGAGAACTTATCTGGATGAATAATAATTTTTGTAACCTTTTCATTCTTTCCATTGATATTAAGTGTACCAACGTTCTGAATTTCAATTTCATTGGCATAATTAATTGTAACGTCTTCTGTAGTGTCTATTGTTAATTTATCAAATCCATTAAATTTACCTGATGTGTACACAGAACCAGTACAACTACCACTTGCTGTAATATCTGAATCAACAAAGAACCGTCCATTTTTGACTTTAAAGTTATTAAGTGTTAAAGGTCCAGAACCAGTGAACATAACATTGGAAAGATCACTCTTGAAAATTCTATCACTACTAAATTTGCTTGATACAACAATTTCATTTGATAAAATATTAACAGGAATAGAATTATCACTAGTACATTTATGTTCGTCATTATTAAGATATCTAATTTCAGAAATATCAAGAACGTCATTAACAGTATGACACGTTTTAGTGCTTTCTTCTTCATCTTTTTGTATAATATAATAGTCATTGTATCTTAAATTATTTCCAAGAGATTTAATTGCATGATTTAAGAATTGAGTGTTACCAGAAATACTTCCAGCATTTAATGAATCAGCTTTTAATGGACCAATGAATAAGGAAGAAATGTCTATTTGACCAGTAACACTAATAGCACCAGAACAAATGATAGACCCAGATGACAATGAGAGAGAAGAAGCAGTAATACTAGAAATAATAAGATCTCCTGTAATAGTTAGTGAAGAAGATGTAGAAATTGAACCACATTTTCCAGAATTAATAGTAACAGGTGTTGAATCACCTTCAACAATGATATTAACATTATCAGAGTCAGATAATGAATTTATAATGAATGGTCCACCAACTAATTTCAAATTACATTTGATTGAATTTACTTTAATTGCCTCAGTACCAGAGTTAGTAATTGTTACTAAATGAAGTGTATCACACTCAACAGTGACATCTTTGTTAGTACTAAATTTGACATCACTTTTACAGATAACACGATCATAATTTGCTTTCAAATCATCTGTTATATCTTCTTTTATCTCTAAAATACAGACAGGAGTATATTTACAATTGTCTGCATTGTCTTCAGTAAATGTCTGTGGTTGTCCACTAAAATGACATATCTCAGACAATGGCTCAGTTGATGACTTAGATTTAATAAATAATTTGGAAGGACTACATAATTTAGAAAACATATTATCATCACTTTCTGGAACAATGAGTTTTTCTTCACTAGATAATTCTGCAATAAGAATAGGATAATTGAATGTTTGATGTTCACCAGTGTATTCAAATTTAAGAGTGGCTTGTTTATCAATATGCAATAACTCAAGTGAACCAATTTGATCAACACTAATTTCATTAATAGTAAATACAGCATTTTCTAAGAATTTATAAGATCTAGAATTTCCGATAGTAAGTTTTGTAATTACTTGTTCTTTGGCATCAGTCGATGATAGCGTTTCAATTTCACAATTTACACAATCAAGTTCAAAATTATTAACTTCATCAGATTGTACTTTTAATTTTACTGTGCTACCTGACTTAGAAACAAGTGACTTGAACTTTGCCTTATCAATAACTACAGTGGAACCACTTGCAACATCAACTAAATTTGCGTTAATCTCTCCAATAATAAAATCACCTGTCAATAATAAAGAATTATCAGAACTCAATGTTTGAATAGTTAAAGAAGAATCAGTGCTTATACTTGTTTTTGTTGTAGGAACAATAGTCATATGTTGAATAGAGCCACTAGAAGTGGATAACATTGTGTCTCTATGAATTAACCATTCAGATTTAGATTTAAGATTTCCAAGATAAACCTTTTTAACAGTATCTTTAACATCGATTATACAATTATCTCCATCACATGGACAATTAATAGTACTGAATTGAGAGTCATAAACTTCATTATAAGTATCAAGAGAACAAGTAACAGTACTGCTTGGGACTTGATCTACTCCAAGATAGACAGTAGTCTTTCCGTTTGATGTAACAGTGTTTAAATAATTTTGTTCTATAAATGAAACTGCTAAATGATTTGCATATGCAACAGTAACAAAACCAGTCACTGCAGTTGTTTCAATTTGACTAGTAACTGTAAATGATTTATCTTTACCACCATATGACAAGATAAAAGGTCCTGAAGATGATCCAAGTTTCAAAGAACTAATTTCCATTTTGGTTGTAGTTTTATCCAAGAGTTTACCGTTAGTTAATATTGTAGCTGACGCAATTGTTACAGTACTTCCACTAAATGTAAGTGGTTGTTGGTTAAGAGAAAGAGAACTTAATTTTAATGAACCAGTACCACCAATTGAAATATCACCCCTTACAATGTTAGTGAATTCTTTCAATGATATATCTTCGTTGATTAATACACTCTTGTCTTCAAGATCAAAACTATAATCAGAAAGATCAGGGAACTTCTTTCTACAATCAACATAGTCAATACTATCAGATTTAATTTCATTAGAATTAGATGACTTTAATTTACAATAACATCCTATATCAGTTCCAACACGATAATTTGTTTCACTACATTGAGTAACAGAGAGTCCAGTACTGAGTGTCAAATATGATTTAGATTTAGCATTTAAGCAATAAGTACATGATCCTTGAACATTTATTTTACCTTCATCACCAATAACATTTACATCAACATACAAATAATCAAGACCACTTGGTTTAAGAGCAATTTCTGTTGATATTTCTCCATGAAGAATAAGTTCAGATCCAGTGTTTTGATTAATTGTTTTAACAATTTTGTCTTTATCAAGAGTAAGAGTAGAAGTTGTAACTATGTTAATTGAATTCCATGGATAACTGACAGTATGAGCAGCAATCTTGACATCAAGATCTAATGATGAACTTCTTAATGCACAATCATTTTTATCATAAGTGTCTGCTGTTCCAAGAACACAACGACAGTTTGTAGAAGCAGAATCAGCAAATGCTCTGTAATAATTTGAGAAACATGTTGCAAAAGAAACAGAACTTTCAGGACTAATATTACTTCCAAAAAGAACTTGAGAACCAACGTTATTTGTTCCAGTAACTTTAGTAACAATTACATCAACAACATCAATAAATGGAACATCATTAAGAGTGCTATAATCTAATGAAACCTTAGAAGAAGTACCAGTTATTTTAACTGAAACAGATGGAACACTAATAATATTGTTAGAAGATTCTAAGTTAATAATATCTCCTTCAAAAGCTTTATCAAATGAGACTGATTTCCATAATTTATCAATTTTATATGTGATAGCACTACTTTGTGAATCTGTTTTAAGGACATAATCAAATTCTTTAGACACTTGTTCACAATCTGGAAGTAAGCTATTTGAATAACATTTACATTGCACATCATCTTTAGTTGTTCTGTAATAGTCACCACATCTAACTTGTTTTTCAGACCCAACAACACCAACAATAGAAGAAGAATAATAGTAATTGAAACTGTCAGTGTCTTGAATATGTTTTGGAATAAGAGTAAGAGTAACGTATTTACCAGATGGAACAAAGGTATCAATTTGAACATTCTGAATTTGTGTTTTGCATTTAGCAGTAAAAGTACTAAGTACCACTTCATCAGCAATACCTTCTTTCTTTGATATAGTTAGTTCATCGGTTCCTTCTAAGTTTGAGACAATTTCTTTAAATGAACTAGCAAGTATAATCTCATTCTGTTTATCTGCTTGGTATGTATAATGTGAAGAGAATTTACTAACAACACAATCAGCAGTATCTCCAGGATTACAATTCAATCCACGATCACTTTGAGGATGATTTCTTGAATAACCTTCAAAATCAGTAATACTAGTTTTTGTGAGTCCACTAATTGGGTCATTGTTCTTTGAAATAATAATAGACTCTGCAGTTCCTTCTACAGTAATACTTTCAGCAAAAATGAAACCAGCAGCATTAGAACCAACATTAGTAGTTTTTACTGAAATTCCAGGACCGAATGAAAGATAATCACATGGAATAAGAGTGTCTATAGTTAATTCAACATTTTCTTCTCTGCTTGCCTTTTTAACAAATGAGACTTTATCCAAGTTACCAAATTTGATACTTACAAATGAAATACTGTCCACATCTACAACAACTTCACCATTAAAATCAGATGAAAATGCCAAAGAATAAGATGTGACTTTATCAGTTCTTTGATAACAATCATCTACATTAGCACCAATCCAACTACTCTTGTCTAAACTAAGAACATTTCCACTTAAAGTACACAAACAATCAGATTTTGATTTTTTATAGTAATAAGTCGTTTGTCCACATCCTAATAAGTACATATTTTCTGGATTGAATCCATCAAGAGTTCCATCAAATAAATAGTTTTTACTTGGAACGTTTTCATTTGTTTCAGCAACAACAACATCCTTACCAGTATCAGAATCAAGAACACTAAATGTTGCACCTTCTTTAAGTACTAAATTTAGATTACGTTTATTAGTTTCTCCATTAACAAAATTACATGAAGTAACAACAGTGATTTTTTGTGTAACAGATATTTGTGAATAAAGGGTAATACTATCAACAGAGAATGGTTGTCCTTTTAGTGAAAGAGAAGATCCAGAATTATAAGAAACAGATTTCCATTGCTTTGAAGAACATGTGTAAGAAATTTCATTTTCATTGTTGAAAACAATGTCTGCTTTTGAAGTTAAGAATGAGTATTCACCATAGCCATTACAATCTGATTCTGTAAATGAACAATCAGAAACATATGTGCATTCTAAATTAGATTTAGATGAGATACGATTTGTTGAATCAGAAGTAGAGAAACTATAAATACTATTAGGAATATTTGGACTATTGCCACTTGTAAGAATATAGTTTGGTGATTTGTTAAGTTTAACATCAGTTATAGTTAAAGAGTTGAAATATGAAAACTTTGGAGTATCAGTATCCACAATAAGTGAAGAAAGTGTAACTGTTCCAGAGAATGTAATAATTGGTTTTGATGAATCAATGGTATATTCACTAAATGTGACTGGATTAGCGTTTGTAATTTTCACTACTTCATTGGTAGAAAATTCAACTCCTTTAAAGATAGCTGGGAATTTTGGTAAATCAGCAGATGAAGTTATTTTCAAGTATAAATAGTTATTTTCTGCATAATTTTCATTACAGTCCCATTCTTCATAAGATCCATCTTTTGTTAATGTGCAATACTTATCATTCTCCATTGAAGAAAATCTTTTCTTGTTTTCACTGATGCCGTATGAATAAAACCCGTTTGTAATTACTGATAAAGAATCACCAACACATAAAATGGAATTTGTTTTTGCATTGTTAATTGTTGTAATTGTTGTACCAGTTAACATAGATCCTTCATGTGCAATAGCTGTTGAGAAAATTAAAGTGCCAATAGTACAACTAGTGAAAGTGAACTTTGTAACATCAACCTTATCAAGAGTACCAAATTGACAGTTATCAAGACTAAGAGTTGAGAGACTGTTTGAAAATGAAGCCTTGTTTGTTGTCTTAAGATTTTCAATTTTAGTAGAACTTCCAAGAGTAGCTGATTCAAATGTATTAAATTTATTACTTGTCAATTTAATAGTTTCAGACCCAGAATATACAAATACCAAGAGAGGAGATTCCATGTTAGTAGCATAAAGGTTACAATCAAATTCAGCAAAAGGAGATGTAGTATCAGTACCTACATAAGTACATTTTGTATTTGTTCCTTTAGTAATTCTGTATAACTTGTCACTGATTTTAACACTATTATAATTTGATTTACTGGAATCAGTAGCAGGAGTTCCTTCTAATACAAAGAGAATACTACCATCAACTAATGAAGTTTCAACAGCATCAACAGTTCCTTTTATACGAGCATCTTTAGGATTAGTAGATATTATCATGTTACTTATTTTGTCAGTAACTGTGACCATGTAATTTGTTAATTTTCCTACATTGAAGTTATTGATAGCTGCTATTGATAAACTAAATGAAGTAATACCGTCAGATGGACTGAATGTATGTAATGTTAATCCATTCAAAACAAGTTCATTGACTGAACTTTCAAGACTATCGAATTCGTTGTATGGAGAATTGAATGTTAGAGATGATGGATTATAACTTAATTTAAGAATTTTATTTTTGTTAGTACCAGTATATTCTTCATTACAATCTTTTTCTTCAAAGATAATACTATCAACACCTGATTTCAAAGTACAATAGAACTTTTCTTCTTTACTTATACGATACACTGTATCTCCAATCTTATGGGAATAATAACCTTCAAATGATGGTGTGGTATCAGAAGTATAATACATTATTACATTAGATGAATATCCAGAACTGGTTTGAATATTTGTAATTGTTCCAGAAATGATACCTCCATTAAACTCTTTGCTAATTGTAAGTTTTTCAATATCAACATTGACAAGTTTATAGTTGCCTGCATTAACAGTGACTTCTTTTACTTTGAGGTTAGTTAGTTCTATTCCTTCAGTTTCTAAAACAAAACTAGCAAATTTCTTTGAATCATCATTGAAAACAAATGTTTTCTCACACACAAGTGTCATTGCTTCTGGCGTATAATAAGTGCTAGTTGGTTGACAATCCCATTCAGTAAATTTATTGTTATCACTACAAGTACATTTCTTATGACCAACTTCACTTTTGAAATATCTGTAACGATTATCACTTATTTGAGATGGTTCTGATGAATACATATCGTTTGTACCTCCTATAAACAACGGAGAAAGTCCTCCATTAATAGTAGAAATCTTACCAGCTTTGAAGTAATAATCAGAATAATCGTCTGGAAGAGTTAATTCATCAACAGTTATTGAATCAATTATAATAGAAGAACAACTAAGGACCAATTTCTTTGCATTGATTGTTTTGATACTAGTGACATCTTTTTCAACATTTACTGTATTATATTTGATATTAGCTACAGAAAATCCATTACCTTTAATATTAAGATCAAGTGATTGAACTGAATCACAGTCTCCCATATTGAAACCATTATTAGAATATTCACATACAGTTATAGCACCTTCTTCTTTGAAATAATATCTGCCAGCATTATTACCAGTTTCAAAATAATACAAAGTTGATTCACTGACAGTGTTTCCAGAACCATAGAATATTGGAATATTTGATGTTTGAGAATCACTGAGAGAAATTTTTGTAATTGTAGAGGTACTAATCTTTTTATTAAATGAGTTTTGACTTTTCATTGTAAGTTCTCCTAATTTAGATTCTGTGATTGTAAATGTATCAACAATAATTTCAGTTTGTTTGCAATTCAAAGATGTTAATGCTTGAGTCGTTGAAATAATACATTTATTATATGTTTTTTGTGTGGATCCACTAGTTCCTTGAAAATCAATAGTAACATATTCTTCAGTATTAAATTCATTAAAGAATTTTTGACAATCATACTCTTCAAATACAGAATTTTTATATGTACATTTTGCATCAATACTTTCTTTAGAGAAACGATAGAAATTGTCTCCCATCTGTACTTTGTTTAATGAATTTGGATAAGTACTAAGTGATCCATAAAATATTCCATCTTGAACAGTAGCACCTTCTTCTAATGCACCCATCATTCTAATTCCTTTTGCATTTTCAGTTAATTCATATGACTTAATTGTCTTTGCAACTAATTTAATATTCTCTCCATTGAAAGAAGCTTTTCCAACACTCTCTGTAATAGTTACTGTTATTCCATTTTCATTACCATTCATTGTTAATGTTCCAAAAACTTCAGATAATTCTGTATCCTTTGAGACAGTAACTGATTGACATTTGATATTTGGTTGTTTGGTTGAGGCTCCATCACTAAAGGAAAGTGTTTTGACTGAGAGAGAAGTTGTAATGGTTGAGGGTGTGTTAATTACTACATCAACTTTCTCGTATGTTGAGAAAAGTTTACAAATTTCAGAATTAAATGATGTTGTTTCATATGTACAGATGTGTGTATTATCATACCAATAATAAGAACCTTCTACATTGATTGCTTCTGGTTGACCATTGAAACACTTTAATTTATTAATATTAGTATATAATGAACCAGTCAAACTACTACCTTGAATAGAACTCTTTGTTGCACCATCAAGAATTAAATATCCATTGACATTAGATGGTAATTCTACTGAAACTCCTGAAGACACTTTAGCATTAATAGTAAAGAAGAAACCAGTTAATTTTGAAATATCAAAAGTCTCTATGAAAGTATATTTTGGTGCGTTTAAACTGAAAGAAGTACAATCTTTACAATCAACCCTTAATCCTTTAAATGTTTTTTCTTCACTTAATGTATCACTTTTTATTCCTGGATCACTACTGAAAACAAGGATCATTTTTGAGAGATCAATATATTCACTACTACAGTCTTCTTGTTCATAACTATTTTCTGTTATTGACTTGACTAAACAATCATTAGTTGGCTTTTCACCTTCTTGAGAACCACATCTCATATACTCATTGGCAATTTGAGTACATCTTTTTTCTTCTGATTGTGCACTATTTAAAATGAAATAATCTAATGATGATTTAAATGTAACTGTGGCTGGAAGATTAGTTAAGATACTCAAAGTATTACCAGTTGTTTCAAATGAATTAATTACTAATTTATCTGTTTTAATTGTAATATGATCAACTGTAAAAGCACTACAAGTAATAACTTGAGTTGTTAAATCTGATTTTTCAATGTTGGTAGTAATACCAGTACATTCTTTAAATTTGTATTCATTATTATTTGGAGATTCAATTGGATAAAGAGTAAATGATTGTTCACTAAATTTTAATGTCATTAAAGAAGTATCTACTAATTCTTTGTTTCTACAATCTCCTTCTACGAATTTACATTTTTTTTCTGTTTCTAAACAAGTTAAGGTACAAACAGCACCACTGTTTGAAAAACTATAACGATAATAACCGTCTTTAACTTTAACTACTTGTGCTTTTTCTGACTCTCCTAATACATTTTGACTATCTGCTGTAAAGAGATAACTTGATTGTCCATTAACAATGTCTGTTACTTTAGAGTCTCCAGTAAATAAAAGATAATCAATAGGAATATTTGATTTATAACTTAATTGTCCAATTTCACATGCAACAAATTTAAATCCTGTTTTAGTTAATTCAAAAGATGCCAATTTAAATCCTTTAATTGTACTTATCTTTGTTGCTAATGTCAAATCAATTCCTTTAAATTCTTTTGTTTTAAATCCATCTTTATATTCTAAGGACACAGCAGAAACAGATTTAATTTTAAATATTATTTCATTACCTACTTCTAAACTATCACAATCACTTGAAGTATATCCTCCTGTTTCTTCATAAACACAGTTCTTTCCATCTTCATTATTTGGAGAAACAACCCTGGATTTAGAACTGCTTAGTTTGTAAGCAACAAATGAATCACTTTGAGTTTGTGTTTCTTTTTTTGTAATTTTTGCAGATTCTGTTAAGACAAAATATACTGAATCTTTATTCTCTGGTGATATTTCAGAAACTGTTATATCTTTACTAATTATATTTTTGGGGTCTGCAGTTATTTCTAAAGTAGTAACAGTCACAAGACAGTTGATAGTGAATTTGTTGTCTATATGAAGCTTATTTGCAGTGATTGTTACACTCCCTGGAATTGTTAATTCACCTGTTGTTTTAAAATTAATTTCGTTCCATTCTTTATTATTTATATGTTCATCAAGGGCCGTTGGATAAGTTTGACCAATAACATCAAGTTTCATTTGGTTATAAGAACTTAAGTAAGAACACTCATTTTGAGTAAAACTGTCTGAAGAAAATGTACAAAGTCCTGCATCAAGTTCTTGAACATATCTATGTTTATACACACTGTATGCGTCTTTTAAACTGATCTCCCTTTCGTTAAGAGAGTTTGAACCAAAACTAATTGTATTTTCAGAAAGAGCAACAGTGCGAGATTCTCCAGATAATTTATTTACAATAATTTCATTACCAGTGACAAGTAAAATATTGTCTGCAATATCCTCAATTGTTAATTTACTCTCTGCGTTTGATACTACTTTTACATAACCAAATCCTGATGAAATATAAAGTTGAGCTGAGTCTTCCTTATTTACATTAAGAGTGAATGCTGGACTTTCCATAGTTCCTTTTTCAGTAGATTCTTTTTGCTCAATAGTGATTTTGGTTAAAGTTGATTGCACAGTTTGAGGTTCTGTGTCTGATTCATCACCACTGTTAGTTTGGTAAGTAGCTTTTACACTTAAGTCTGTAATTGTTGCAGATTTTTGTACTTGAAGAACTGCTTCAAAAGATTCACATTTGCTGTTTGTAAATGAACAAGAAAAGGCGTTTTCATCAGCTGTGGAATCAACAGTTTCAACAATACAAGTACAAATACAAGTATTTTCCTCTGATGCAGTACAAGTAGCAGCGAGGGCATAGTTAATTAATAATAATTGTACTATGAGGTAGAAAACCATGATATGAAATTAAAAGTTCTTGAAAACAACGTAAAAATACCCAACGAGGATGATTTTTACATGAATTTTGTTAACTCATTCTAAATAAATAAAAATAAAAAAGACGTTATTAACCAACGAAATTGTCTCTTTTCTCAACTCTTTTCCTCGTCTATATTCTTTTTTTATTCAATTTTTTTCGGTGCAATTTCACATCTATTTCCAATAATTTTAGTATAAAAACACCTTGTTATTATTTCTATTTTTTGCATCATTCTAATCTTTTCGTTCTATTACATTTTTTATTTCTTTCGATATAATTATATTTTTATTCTTTTTACAGTTTTTTTTCAGGATTTATCCAAAGTATTAGCTAAAAATATAATTATCTCAGTTTTTGTTTGGTAAAAATACATAATCACCTCATATCTATTAATAATTTTTTTATATTTATACTTTTTTTTTTAATATCCTTTTCAAAAATATTTCATCTACTTTCTTTTTTTTTTTTTTCTATTTTTATTTTCTTATACAACAAAAAACTGATTCATTTCACTTTAAATATCCAAACAGATCTTTTTTAAAATAAAATTTACAGAACAAATTAATTTTCTATTTATTTTTACTTATCTTTTCTCTTTAATAAAAAATATTCTTCTTAAATTGTTTAAATGTTTTTATTACTTTTTAATTAATTTGTATTTTCTTTTCTTTCTCTTTTATAACTATTAAAATTAATTTCATAGTGCTCTTTATTTTTCTTCACTTTTTATTGTTTTTTGTTGTAGCCGATGTAATTAAACCATTCAAGTTATTTCTACAACTTTACTCAATAGATATACTCTGTTATTTTATTCCTATTGCTGTCCTCCCTTAGTGCCAAATAAAGTCCATCTCTCGTACGAGTTCTTTGGTTCTTATCACTTTTATATATGTCGTTCTCTTTTGTGTATTCTTTTATTATTTGTTGTTTTCTAATAGTCTGGCAGATTTCTTTAGTTTTATTTATTCAGAAAGCATATTTTTGTTAATATTCATTTAAATAATATCCACATGATCTGTTTAAATTATTAATTTAAAATTATGTCATTAAATATTATGTTTGGTTATGTTGTTTCTGGTATTGTTTCTCGTTTAAATTTGAGTAGGTAAGAAGATATATCATATGTACTTTAATAATCTTATGTTAATTAAAATTTAACTTGTAAAACTTCCAATATTATTTATTTTAATATGAAATAATTAATTATGTAAAACTGTGGTTAATTAACATATGAATTATTATAATTTATTGATTTTATTTCATTATACAGTTATTGTCAGTTAATATTATCTTTTCGGATATTTTTCATTTTATTTCTTTTGTTATTTGTATTCTTCTATTGATATTATATTAATAAATCATTTAAATATTATATCCTAATAAGTTCTTTTGTGTATTGAATATTTTTATTTCATACTAAATAACAATGTACTTTTAGTAATTTTTATTGTATCAGAATTACTATCTCTATATGTTTCTTTTTGAGTTGGTTGTTCAAGATCATAATTATTTTCATGTTTATCATTTATATTTGTTATATTAAATATATTTAATAATTCTACTCAATTCATTACTATTTCTTTTAATATGTTCATGTTCTTTGTTTCTCAACTAATTATGTTTTCATTCAAATACAGTCTTTTTCTATTCTACCTACTTATTTTTATTATCTATAATTGTTTAATCTTTGATTCTAATTAATTCAGTTCAGTTTCATGATTTTGTTTATTAACACTAATAATTTTACAACTAACATCACCACTAGTATTTACTTCATTTATTCTGATGATATATTTTTGTTGTCTTATCAAAGTATGTTCACTCTACAAAAATATTTACTCACTCTTCTTTTTTATTGAACAAAACATGTTATAATCATAACTGTATTATATCAAGTTACTTCTACATATTAATTTGGTTAAAAGTCATTTATTATTCTTTCATTATTATTGTCTCTATTTTTCTCACTTCTGTTTATCTGGCATATCCTTTCATTTTGTTATAACTCGTTTGAATATATTTCTATGTTTTGATTATTAAAACTCCAATCTTCTTATCATCTAGTATCCTCTTTCAAATTTCTCATGTCTAATTCTGTTTCTTCTTGTCTATTGTTTCTTCTTGTTGACATTTCCATTTTCTTGCAAGACATTATCTTTATTGTTGTATCTCTATCTATATTCTCTTTACAATCAATTCAGTGTTTATGTGAAACGTTTTCTTCTTTGTTAACATCATTAGTTAAGTACTCATCTCATGTTTGATCCTTCACTCTCTTTATCTTTTTGAATAACAATAAAACAACTCACTAAACAGACTTTCCTAGATCACACAACTAAAATATGGTATACCACTATTCAATATATTAACAATTTATCTTCTTCAGTTGGTATTATCTTTAAAAACCAAATAAACATCCTTTGTCGTTCCTTCTTTTATTCGTTAATAACAGATAGTGTTAACTCTCTTTAGTAGAACAACCATTAAAATTTGCACAGAGATTGTGTTTAAATAAAAACAGAACTACTTTATTCAATAGATAAACATATACAATACCAATTAGTCAAAAACACAGAAAACTTGAAAACAAAAAAACAAAATCATCAGGAATGGAAAAAACACCAAGAAACTCTGTAGAAGACTTGTTAACGTTATTTAAAGATGTTAAAGATGATAACAAATTAGAGAGTGAAGAAACAAAAAAGACAGAGAAAAAAGAGAGGAGAAAATCTCTGAGTATTAATGTAAATGATGAAGTACCAGAAAAAAGAAAGAGAAAAAGCACAAAACAAGAAGGAACCCCACAACCAAAAGTTGGAGCTATGCTTGAAATCCAATACAAGCACTTACCAGATAAAATAGATATTTCTGAATTAAAGGTATTAATTGAAAAAATACCAAGAATGGAAGAGAAAATAATGTTTAATGAGAAAAGTCTTGAACAATCAATTGTTATAAATTGTACAAACAATGGAATTCATGCATTGATTGGTGATAATTATGTTATACTCAACAAAGATTTACTCAAAGAAATCATTAATAGTAAGAGATTGATTATTGTACATAACTTAATAGAAGAAATCAAAAATTATAGAAATGATATTAAATGTGTCTTGGAAAACTTCAACACAAACAACAGAATCTTTGACACTTACATTGGAGCATCAACAATAGATCCAGGAAGTGTTGATGGACAAACATTCAATCAAATTTGTTTAGTCTATGAAGTTATAATAAATAAAAGTACTACAGAAGAAAGATTGAAACAAACAAGAAAACTTGCACTGAAAGAAGTAGAAATTATGAATAAATATAATATGATAAAAGTATTTCAAGAACAAGAAATGATTATTGAAGGAGTTTTGATTGAAATGAATTATTGTAATGAATTTAAGATTGACGATAAATTATTGAATGAACAAAGAAAAGTATTAATTGAAGAACAAAATAAAATAGAAATAGAAACAAAGAAAATTATAGGAAAAACAATTAATTTATCATCTCCTGAACAAGTTAAGAAAGAACTTATACGATATAATATTGGAATAGATGGAGTAAAAAAGAAAGCAACAACAGATAAAAAGATACTCAGTCAATCAGGTCATCCATTTGCTAAACTTGTTCTTGAATATAGAAAAATTTCTAAACTTCTTTCTGGTGTAATTGAACAAATCAGAAGATGTTGTATTAAAACAGGTGATGAATATTTTATTAGAACTAAATGGAGTCAAACAGCAATTACAACAGGAAGAATTCAATCCAAGAATCCTAATCTTCAACAAATTCCAAAACAAGCATTTTCACTCCAACAATTTGTAGTAATTCCAAGAGATTTATTTATTACACATAATAATAATACTTTTGTTGCAATTGATTATAATCAAATTGAATTAAGAATTTTAGCTAATTTTACAAAAGATCATCATCTCATTGAATTCTTTAAATCAAATATTGATATTCATAAACTTATTGCAGCACATTGGCTTAAAAAGAATGTAAATGATATCACTGATGGTGAAAGAAGAAAAGCTAAAACAATTGTGTATGGGTGTATTTATGGGATTGGTCCATTTTCATTGGCTGACCAACTTCATATTTCATTAGATGAATCTAAAACATTTTTAGAGTCTTTTCTTGACCAATTCCCATCATTTAAAAAATGGAAAGAAGAAATTATTACCAATGCATCAACAACAGGTTTTGTACATACTATTAACAATAGACGAAGAAGAATAAATAATTTAACAGATTCTAGTGATAAAAAGACACTTGCAGAATCTAAACGAATTGCAGTTAATTCTCCAATTCAAGGTACTGCTGCTGATATTATCAAAATGTGTATGATTGAAATATTCAAAAAAATACATTCAACTTGGTTAGGTGTTCAACTCTTATTAAATATCCATGATGAAATTGTTTTAGAAGTACCTGATCATTTACTCGATGAAGTTTGTGTCACATTAAAATATTTGATGGAACATATTGTCCAACTTGAAGTTCCTCTTGTAGTTACTGTTGAAACAGGAAAGAAATGGGGTTCTCTTCATCCTTACAACTTTAATTAACTCTTTATTATAACTATCTATTTTATCCAATACATACTTGAAAATAAATACTCTTTTAACAATTTTAAATATAAATCATTATTATTATTATAAATTCAACCAACTTAATCATGTCATGAAGTGTATTCACTAATGCCATTATTAATGTTATTATTATTAAAACTGGTCAGTAATATTATCAAACATAAAAATGGTAGTTAAACATTTCAACAATAATTTCAACAATAATACCATTCATCATTAATAAAAACAAACATATTTATTGTCATAAGGTAATCTTTGATTAACAAATAAACACTAAAAGTCGAGTCATTCGTTTAAGATAACACAAAAAATACATAGATGTTTTACATGAAAATTAACTAAAAGAAAGAGAATATAGTCTAAAAGAAATAGAAAACATCAAAAAAAAACTTTATTAAATTGATATTTTGAAAGACATAATAAGAAACAATACTACAAAATACGAACTAAACATTCCTTTGAAACAGAACACCATCAACTAACTTCAATAACAATAGAATGAATTGTTATAGAAAATAGTTTTATTAATGGCAATAAATGAAATAAATAATAATAATTTAAAACGATAATTAAGAGAAATACTGACAAATGTTATAAGAAATTAAGACGTGTTAAAGAAGCTACAAAGATAAATAAATTATTATGTAATATTTAATTATAGTATTAATACCATTCTATTATTCATTGTTTATAACTACCATATATATATTTATAACATTATTATTAACTAAAGATTAATTCTATTTATCTAAAGTTGTTTATAATGATATTTTTATGAAAGATTGTATTTCTTTTGTAAAATAAATACCTTTTATTACAGAATTAACACTTATCTGTTTATTACTTTAATTAATCATATTATCGATTCTATTTATTTAATTATTTCTTATATCAAGAAAGTTTGTATCAGTTTATTTAATTAATTAAACAGCTCTACTGTGTGTGTTTTGTTCATTTTATCATTGTATTGGTTGTCACTTGTTTATCATCAGATTTAAATAAAATGATAAGACAGAGTATTATAATTATGTTTAAGATGTATACAATTCCATCGTTCTCACTTTATTTAAATTTAATATCTATTTTATGTTCTATGAAATAAACATTTTATTTGTATTATCTTATTTAGTCTTGATGATTCAGTTCATTTAATACAATGTGTCAATGATTTAAAGTGAATTAAGTGAATAAAGTTTTTACAAAATGTTATTGTGTTTTGTTTATTTTATTTGACTCATTAGTTAAGTTAATTAAGGTTGTCTTTTGACGTATCAACTTCTTTTAATATATTTTCTACGGTTATTTTGTTATAATCTATTCAATAAAAATACTTGTTATGTAAAGATTTGACATAAAAATATGTATTATTTTATTTTTTATTGTTGTTTTGTTGGGATTCGAAGGTAGCACGTCAGAGACACCACACAGAACCCTAAAATATTTCCATCCTTCGATTCCCCCAGTTATGGACTGGTTATGGCGTTGCGTTTGGTTAGAAAAACATCTTACCCAGTACTGCAAGAATAGCAGTGTTTATTATGTACAATGACAGAATATCATTGACTATAAACGAATGAGTATTTATAAAGATGGTATTATTACTTGTTAGAATACAAGTATATTTGATAATATAAGAAAGGTTATCAAAGGAAAATGGTCAAGTGGATGAGGCTAAAAGAATATTAGCCCAAAGCAATACAGTGGTAATTATATGCTCTCCTTAAAATAAGAAAATAAAGAAGAAATTTAAACCCATCAAAATTAAAAAGAAATTAAATAATGAATATTTAAATAATTGATGTTTAAATATTCTATTCCACATCAAAAATGAGTAAAGAAAGTTCTCACAGTTCAACAACTAAAATCAAAGAATAAGGCAATAGTTGATGAACAAATACTTTTAAAGCAAAGTGACGGGATTATTTAATCTCCCTTGAGCAAGGAACAATAGAAGATATTTCTATTAATACTTAATTAACTAATTCTTATTTTTATTATCTTCTATTTTCTTGTTTTTATTATTGTTATTTAAAACAATAAAAATGAAATGACGCTTATTAAAATAATAAAATGATGTGTTATAAACGTGTATTTAATTATTTAATCTTCTTATTTTAATCTGATATTCATTAAATTAAAATGGAATCAGTGATGAATAATCAATTAATTAAAGAAATAGTAGAAACACTTCCAAATATTTATCAATCAATTGATGATACTACTAAACATTATCATTATTATTTAGGTTGTATTAAAAATGAAATATTTGAGAAACAAGATAATGAAACATATGAACAAGCAATTAAAAGAGGAGAAGGAATATTTGATAGAATGGATGAAATAGTTAAAAGAAGAAGAATAGTAATAGAAAAAGGACAAGAAACAATTAATAAAATAGAAATAATTAAGAATAAAATGGAAAAGATAATAGAAGAATGTAATGATGATTCAGGGGCAGTTAATAAAGCTAAGAATGAACTAATAGATAAAATCATTCACATGGAAGAAATGGATATGAAAGACAAAATTAAACCATTAGAAGAAGAAATTAACAATATTAAAACAAGATTTAACAAAAAGAAAGAAGAATGGTTTACACAATATAGTGATTATTTAGAGAGGAAGAAGAAAAAAGAAGAAGATGAAGAAAAAGAGAGAAAGAAACACGAAGAAGAAAGAAAGAAACAAAAAGAAGAAGAAAGAAGAAGAAAAGAAGAAGAAAGAAAGAAAATGGAAGAAGAAATAATAAAAACTATAAGAAAAAAGAAACAAGAAGAAATGAAACAACTAGAAGAATGGACAAATAGAAAAGTATCGAATATACTATTTGATTCAGATATTGATAATTGGAATAAGAATACATCAATATTTAATCAAAGCATAATAAACAAAGAACATATAATAATTATTATTGAAGATACAAAAGGAAATAAATTTGGAGGATATGTTAATGTGAAAATTGATAAAGTTAATAATTACATAAATGATCCAAATTCATTTTTATTTTCATTAAAATCAAATGGAAGAATAAAAAGAATGATGAAATTTGATATTAAAAAACCCCAATGTGCATTTTGTTTAAATAATCAATCAAGTGATTGGTTGTTTGAATTTGGAGGTGGATGTGATATTGTTGTTTTTAAAGAAAATAATAAAACAAAATCATATTGTAAACAAATTTCATTTGAATATAAAGGAATATTAACTGCACTTTGTGGAAATGAAGATTTCACACCAGAACGAATCATTGTAATTGAAATGAAATGATTTTTATTCATTATTATTTATTTGAAATATAAAAACTAAAAAAGAATATAAAATAAAATCAATAAATGAATATGAACAGCCATTTCTTTCATCTATCAATGAATGAAATGGTGAATATAAAAATTGTTCATATTTCATTCTTGTTTTATTTCATTTCATTTGAAATATTTACACCCAATGGGGGGTGTTAATTTAATAAATAATAAAAAGAAATAAGAATAAAAGATAAATAAAAATATAATAAAATATTTATTTTATTCTTTTTTATTTATTTTTTATTTTATTTATATTATTTTATATTTATTTATTTTATTCTTCAGATGCCGAAGCATTACAGGAAACACCACAAAAATTATAAAAAAATCAATAACAAAAGAAGGAGAAATCCATACCAACCAAGAAATATAAATGATAGAAGAATGAGTGAAAACAGGTATTATCTGTATGGACAGAAATACATTAATCATCACAACAATCATTACCATAATAATAACTATCACCATAACAATTATCATAATAATAATGGTAAGAATCGTTTCACTCATCACTTCAGTCATTTTCATCATCATAAGTATTTTATCAATAATTCAAATAGAAACAATCAATATTATTATACAAATAAATCACATAATAAAACACAACATAGATATAAACAATACCATAATAAAAGACAACGACAAATAAGAAATAAAAGAAAAGAAATGATAGAAATACAAAACCAAGAATATTGGAAAAGACTATTTGAAGAAGAAACCAAAATACTTACACCACAAGAAATAGAAGAAATTAAGAACACTAAGATTAAAGAATACACACCATCAACAATAATGAGAAGATGGTATTTACTTGCAAGAGAAAAAACAAAAATGATTAGAATGGAAGAAGAAACGATCAGTATGACACTTGAAGAAGATGACAAACTAAATCAAAAAGAAATAAATGATAAATACTTAAATAAGAAATATACAATGAGTATTGAAAATGATGATGAAAATGAACTTGCTGAGGAGAAGAGGCTTGCTGAGGAGAAGA